TCTGTACGGCTGGCTGGAGTGGATCGTGCAGTCCAATCTTCTCCTTGCTTTCTGCGAGAATCGACGCACAAGACGGTATATTGTAGTTATTATAAATATCTGATTCTGATCCTGATTCTGAGTATTTGCTATGTGCAGATATGCAAACCTTGACCCCATATCGGTGGAAACGCTGCGGGCAGGAATGGAAGGCGTGACTCGTGCGATTGAGCGAAAACTTGCTGCTGAGCTTCCACCGCGCTTTGGAATTCTGTTCGATGGGTAGACGCATGCTTCAGAGCGCTACGTGGCCTGGTTTGTGTGTTACGAGGTCAGCGTGGTACTAGTTACCCCATTGTTGGATATTGCTTCGCTCATGAATGAGCCGGACGATGACCTCTCCTCCAGGTCGCACTACGCGTTTCTGGCAACGATGTTGCCAAGAGACTTCGGAGTGCAGATCGACCAGTGTCGGTTCATCGTAGGCGACAACTGCTCGGTCAACCGTTTGCTAGCAATGCTCATGGGGTACCTCTTGTTGGGTGCGCTAGTCACCGGTTGAACCGAGCAGTGCAGCAATACCTACTTGAACACAAAGATGACCTGGCAGCAGTATAGGCGCTGATGGTCAAGTTGAGGACGCTCACTCAATCCGCCAAGTTTCGGTACGTAATTGTTTATAATTTGTATGTTGATCTTTTTTTTTGTTTTCTAAAACCATTTTTTTACTTTTTTTTTTTTTAAAAAAAAGTCTTAAGGCTGAGCTGCGACTAGTAATTCGTCAGGACACCCGCTGGAGTTCTACTTTTGGAATGTTGAAGCGCTATTTCCAGTTGCTCGAATTCTTGGATGCAGAAGATGACGATATCATGGAGGTCCTGCCCTCGCCTACGTCAAACAAGCGCCTCCGAGCCTTGTTTAAGGAGCTCAAGTCGGTAGAATCCGTCGCCAAGGCTCTCCAAGGTCGCGATGTGGATTTGCTGGATGTCAGGCAGTGGTTTGATGAGCTTATTGCTCTAAAACCACAGTTCTAGACACATCTCGGTACGTTTATGATGAGCTTAACTCTTTTATTGTAGCTCTAATGTTATTTTTATTATGCTTAATTAGGTTCTCGAGCTGAAATCGTTCACAGCCCTGACTTTGAGTCAGTGTGTGTTCGCGTTCTGAGGGGACGGCAGAACCGCCTAACGCGTGCGGAGAAGACTGCCCTCGGCCCTTTTGTAAAGCTGGCGGGGGACGCAACGGTGGAATCGGACAACGAAGATCTTTCGTTTGTCGAACGGCATCGTAAGCGCCGCCGGATTGCCGGACGCGCTGTTTCCTAGGAGCAATTGAAGACGATTCCACCAACGTCTAACGTTGTGGAACGCTTTTTTAGTGCGGCGCGGGTGACATTTGGTCACCAAAGACAAGGGTTGCAACCTGCAACGCTGGAGATGATCTTATTCCTCCGTGAGAACCGTGGTTATTGGGATTCTAGCACGGTCAACAGCATCAATTGATACCGTACATGTACATGTTTCTCAATGGAGAACTAAGGTAATACATTTTAGTGGTCTTCATTACTACGTTATTTATTTGCCGTCTTCGTTTAATGACATAATGTATTTGATAGAGTATAGAGGAGATAACGCATAATGTATGTTGTCTTCCTTTGTCTACTAAATAAAAATGCCATATTCAGAGGCCCTGACCATAACCATTCAATTGTAATGAATACATGATTGGGTAAATATCAAAATATTTGAATTTGATTAAATAAAAGTGTCACTGTGTTCCTATGGAAGCGGCTATGTAATACCGGCTTTTATGCTGCCGGTTTTATCTGTCGTTGTCTGTAATACAGGGAACTCGCTTGATTATCTCATTAATTTTGCTAGCTGACTTTCAGATACACTCTAGCGCAGTGCTGTTACATTCGTGACCAAAACTCTATTTACTTGTGTAGTCATGCCTCCCAAGTACACGTTGATCATTCGCTGTTCTTGAGCAGCGCATATTGACGAAGAAGAAGCATGGCAAAATCACACCAGGCTGTATCCCTATTAATGTCGATATGATGCGGTAGTATCAAATTTCACGAGGTAACCTTTCTATTGATTGGAACTCAGTCAAAATGTCACATCTTATTGGCTATAAAATGAGCTAATTTTTGGAACGGTTGTATCAATCCAATCTCATGCAAAAATACTAGATCGTTATACTCCTCTTCAACGCTGTAGCACACTGCACGATGCCTCGCAAGAAAAAGCGGCTTGTTCACGTCGCTACGTTCGTTGCAGCTCGGCATCAGCACCGTCAAGAACGCCTACAGCAAGCACAAATTAACCCTTTAGCCAAGCTTGCTGCAGAGGCTCGAGCGCTACCGTGAGGCATGCCTTCGCTTAATGTTAGTGACCACAGCACATCGTCGGAAGACGACGGCTCGGATTGTGAAAACCAAGACAACCTGTATCTTGTTGATACAGTATACGCAAAGAAGACCAA